AATTTTTTTCTGAATTCGACATTTTAGCACAGCATAGACGATTTGTGTGTTGGCGTCAGCACAAATTTGACGAATAGCTAACCAATGAGTGTTTGCGTTATATGACTCATCCAAGTACACTAGTTTTCACTAGATGTGATTGGCGCCAATGATTTGCATTGGATGGCGCCCATGATGTGAAATAAATATTTAAAAACATTAAACCGAAGCCAAGAGTAACGAGTAAAATTATTTTTTTTTAAATGTAAGGAATAGAAAGTACAGATACTTGTGTGAAAATGTAATGAGTAGAAGTCAGAAGTAGGAAGAAAAATAAGTAATGGAGTATAGATACCTAAAAAGTGTAATTTAGTAATGGCTGCGTTTCCTGGATGGGGCCGCCTTTTACAGCTCCTTTTTGTATCTCTGCTTCTGTCTACTTGAACCCCATTCAGCCTCGGTAGATGGCCGCTCACGCTGAGCCTGATTCTGCTGGAGGTTTCTTCCTGTTAAAAGGCAGTTTTTCCTCTCCACTGTCGCTACAAGCATGCTTAGAGTGAGGGATTGCATTGGAGTCAATGCAATCAACTTGTTTTCCTTACACAGAAAACTTTGAATCAATTTGACTGTATGATCTGGTGAACTGTAAAGTGCCTTGAAATGACATGTGTTGTGAACATCAGGTCATTATGTAATTACCAATTACTATTACAAAAGGGAATACTTAGTATACAGAACTTTTTGTATGCTACAGCTTGTTTGGTTGAGTGGCAACTTTCGTTTTGATGCTGTTTGTTTAACAAAACAAATGTCCCTCCCAGTCACACACAGCCTTAGCTGGTGTCTGCTCTGCTGACTAATGTATGAGGAGGGGGGTTGGAGGATGGAGCCAGGCCAAAGTGGGTTGCCTAATCTCCTTTTGTCTGAGTGACTCCGGGGGATAAAGGCTGAGATTTCACAATGTAATTTAGAAGGCTACAATTAGGTTGTAATGTTTTTGTTTAAACGTAATCGTCAAGCGTACACCTTGACAGAAAACCCAACGCAAATATTCCACCAAAACCACGAGGAACACACGAGCCCTGATGCTCTATGCACCCACCCATCTACCCTTCCCCCTTCCCAACCCCCTTCTATCTTCTCAATGTATAGAAAGCGTGGATGAAATCTCGCGTTATCCATCTTTTGCCGCGAACTTCCACACTGCCTGTAACTCTTTACTACCAAGAAAACTCGAGCCTCTAGATCCCGTGCAATAGTTCCTGCTATTTGTTATGACAAAACACAAAGAAACAAGAGTGAGCTGAACAATGACAGTCACTCCAACATGTTTTACTTGTTTTGTTGTCTCTTTTTAGTTTCAGTATCGACACATATTAGCAGTGGAACCACAACAAATCGTGTTTCCGTATGAGGAAAGCGAGCTTTTATGTTTTTAAAAATATTACGTGGTAACAAAGCATGCTTATCACGTTGCAATCAAGTAAATTTTGAATGACATGCAAATGCATACCGATTGACAATATTAAAGAAGCAGAAATGACCTGCAGTCACTCCTGAAAAGTCAAACCCTCCCCGGCTTTCACTGCTGCTTTCGCCGGTCTTTGTTGGTGCAACCAGACTACTTCCTTTTTCGGGGGGAAAAAATCCTTAATGAAGAAATTGACTCACCGGAGGGTTGAAAGCACGCTGCTCAAAATGAAAAGTGGAGTAAAAGCGGCTTGTTTTGTTATTACAATATGGTTTAATGAAGGCAGACTTACCACGGCTGCTTCCCCCACAGGTACAAGTCCGTCCTCCCCCTCTTTACGCTTCCATGAAGCGGATTGAGTGAATGGCTTGCTCTGCTGCCCACGTCACCCATTGGATGAGGAACATGGGAGGTTTAAATATGTTAGCTAAAAGATTATGTTTAACATAACCAATGTAAACGTATCAACTCAAATTTGCTAACTCGATTCACACCATCTTAACCGACTTATTCACCACGTTAATCCACTAAAACAATAAATCCGGATAAATTAATAAAATGTCCCTAGCTGTAGTGGAAGTTATAGCATCCCTTTAAATGTTAGCTTAAGCTTTTTGTTTGCAAATTTCGTAGAAAATATGACGGATATTTTTTTAACTTGTTAAATCCAAAAAACATTAAAAATCGGGTTTTGGGTGTTACTACGTGTATTGTTATAACACTATTATTAATACCCGATATTTGTCGCCATGAAGCTAACTATGACTTTTAATAGCAAAGTAGTTAACTCGTATTTACGATAGCGTTAGCATTTGAAGCTAGCACGACTTGTACAGATGAGGTAATGGCGCAGCAGGGCTGTCTTTAATGGCGGCCATGCTGAATGAATTTCTTCATGTAGACGTTCAAATGTATTCTAAATAAAAGGCCTTTGTATCTAACATATATGACACTGGGTATAAAAAGTGTCTCGCATCCATATGTTTAGGCTTTGTGACAGAGGCCACCACCAAACTTCACAAACAAACCCCTGCAAGCATGGCGTAATGACACAACAATAGGCCCGTAAGCAACATTATCTGGATGGGCCCCATATGAAGTACAACACCCCATTCACCTGACATCAGTTCATCTGTTATTTACTCCACCTTGTCTTTTTAACTGACTTATTCACCACGTTAATCCACTAAAACAATAAATTCGGATAAATTAGTAAAATGTCCCTAGCTGTAGTGGAAGTTATAGCATCCCTTTAAATGTTAGCTTAACCCTTTTGTTAGCTAATTTCGTAGAAAGTATGACGGATAATTTTGAACTTGTTAAATCTGAAAACTACATTAAAAATCGGGTTGTGGGTGTTACTACGTTTGTTGTTATATGTACTACTAGTGTTAATACCATTATTTGTCGTTACTCGACTTTAACTATGACTTAATAACAGCAAAGTAGTTAACTCGTATTTACGATAGCGTTAGCATTTGAAGCTAGCATGACGTTTACATATCAGGTAATGGCGGCCATGCTGGAATGGATTGCTTAGATGTTTAAATGTATTCTAAATAAACGGCATTTGTATCTAACATATATATCACCGGGTATAAAAAAAGTGTCTCGCATCCATATGTTTAGGCTTTGTGACAGAGGTTGACCACCACTAAACTTCACAAACAAACCCTTGTAAGCAATGGCGTAACGACACAACAATAGGCCCATAAGCAACATTATCTGGATGGGTGCCATATGAAGTACAACACCCCATTCACCTGACACCAGTGTAAAAAATAAAATGCTCAAATACATCGTTCTTTTAAGATCTTTATTGTGGTTTGAAGCATATTATATAAGTGTATTTTTTTTAACCAACCATCTAATGAACTATACATAGTTATTAACATAGTTATTAAAAGTTGAGAGTTGTGTTTAAAGGGCTCACCATCATGTTGAAATCTGGCATGCGTTGGGGTATAAATACGGTCTGGTCAATCAGCTTAGAAACAGGTTGGTGTAAGAGAAATTTTTCGCTCCATTACATCTGCAAAAAGACGTCCAAGTCCACAATTGCATAGGGGGGGCTACCAGGTGTTGATGTCGGGGCCCCTAATAGGTTGGGGGCCTATAAGCAACTGCAGACTCTGCTTACCGATATCTACGCCTTTGCTTGTAACTGCCATCTCCTACAGATTATTCATCCTTTAAATCGTGACAGACGACCTGTGTAGAATAAATATAGATTTAATGTATGTAATATATCTTGTATATATGTACCAGAATATGTTTTAATTAATTTTAAATTCACAATGCACCCGCTTTCACCACTTCTTGCAGTTTAAAATGTCCGCTTTCGAAACCTTACAACGACGTTATTTTCTGACAGGGTCACAAAGGCAGCACCACTGCACTTTCAATACAGTAGCTACTGGCAAATCCATGAAAAACAACAACAAAAATAAATAATAATGCAATTGGATTTGGTTGAATACGGGTACCTTTAGGTTTGGCTTAGGTGTGTGTTTTATTGGATTGGAAAATTCCTAAATTTTGACTCAGAAAATTTTAAATGGAGGGCGAATTGTGACTAAGAAAGTTGGATTGAGTGTTTTTGGAGTGTTTTGTATGAAACTTTTGTTTAAAAATGTGGGGTTGTTTGGTTTGGGGCCCAGACAGTTATGAAAGTAGTTGGATTTTATGTGTAGAGTTTTGATGCTTAAGTTTAGCAATTCCAATAAACTTTCCAAGGCCAATGTGAGAAAGAAACATACCCTCAGCATCACATCACAGATCCTCCACTATGCTTAAAATTGAGATAAAGTTACTTTTCCAGAAAAATCCATGCCGTTATAGAGCTAAATTACCTGCTGCTGGTTTTAATTTAATTTAATTTTTTGACTTATTGAAGAAAAGCTCAAAATTAGACCCTCCATCCATCATTCCATTTTCTGACACGCTTTATCGCAAGGGGTGCTGGTGCCTATTTCCAGCTGTCGATGGACGAGAGGCGGGATGCACCCTGGACAGGTTCCCCGCTCAAAATTAGACCCATTTGACAAAAAAAAGTGTTACAGTTAAACTCCAGGTTAAAGTTTAACAAACCCAGTGTTTAGGTTTGATATAGCATTCCTGAGGTGACTCCCAAACAAGTGGCTGTCGTTGGTGTAATGGTTGCTTTGCATACTTTGTCATCTCCAGATTTCGGTCTTTGCTTCACAACTATACCAGTAAGCTTTGTAGACTTTTAACCTTTATGAAATCTATTCTTCACAAACTGTGGGAAATATACCTTTTTCCAGCATTGTAAAAAGAGCCTGAAGAAATTGGACCTCTAATGGATTACTCATTAGGATTTCTTAGGAGCTTTGACCAAGCTGAGGGAAGTAAATCATAAAATGAGACTTTTTCCCTACTTGAAGATTTTGTCAAAATGGGTCTGAAATTAGGATAGCAATAAAAACATTTACATTTGAAGTGTTTTTTGTATAGTAAGTCAGAGAAACAGAAATCCTCATGGAGTTAATGATTGCACTTGAATTAATGTGGGACTAAAAGTTGAAGTTAATGGAATTTATTCTATATTAAACTTTTCAATCAAAACAAGAAACAACTTGGTGTCCTCAAGGGTCTTCTTTTTAAGCCTTTTTATGGCACAGCTGCAATGAGTGAGAGCCTTTTCAGGGTTCACCGGGGTCAGGGTGCACTTTGTTTGTCTGGCCCATCCCCAAGAGGCAAGGGTCACAAGAGAGAGAGAAAGAAGAGAGCCCATATTCTTCACTTTCTTTAGCACGCTTAGTTAAACACTGTCTGTTTTTATGATATTAAGATTAAGAACTTTAAAGATTTCTGTTGTGACTTCTGTCAAACGATTACATGTTTACTCAGCAGATCAAAAAAACAATTCTAGACAAAATTGAAAGAAAAAATCTATAAGTTAATTATTTAAACGTAGGTCATATTAAAAAAATATTAACAAAATTAAGAAAGGCTTGATTTCTATATCTTATTGTCATAATTAATGTAGAATGTGCAGATGCTGCATTCCCAAATGGTCTAGAATTATTATGGACAGCCACATTATAAAAAGAGAAACAACAGAAAAAGATGAAGCAGAAGAGTTTAAAAGCAGAACAAAAACTGAAACAAACTCTTTTTTTTCCATTTAAGAACCTTTGATGTTTTATATGCTGAGAAGGTTTTTTGTGAAGAAAAGCCTGAAGTTGAACATACATAACAAAATAATTATTAGGCAAACAAAAATAGTGAAATTGATTATTTTTGTGCTATCGTTGCGTCAGTTTCTTCAGCAAAAGAGAGAACCTATTCTCTCTTTTTTTTGACAGAGGTTCTGACCTGATGAAAACCTCTCTGTAGTGATGCAACAAATGTCCTTCAGCATTAATTTATGTGGACAGACATGTATTTAATGAAAGATCCAACAAAAGGTAACTGAAACCTGAATAAACTAGAAGGGCAGTACAGGATTTCATCTGTCAGGAACAAGGTCAAAATGAGAATCTGATAACAGGCGAATGAAAACCAGTCTGACCCTTTAATTGAGTCATGCAGGCATATTTCAAATCATTAAAATACATTTAAATACATCTTATTTTTGAAATAATGCTGGTAACCTCAGTTTTAACTGGTTAAGTAAACGGGGTTTTTTTTTTTATTTAACCCCAAGCATGCATGTAGCAAAAGCAGAAAGAAAAACCTTTTCTTTAAAAAAGCAGAAATCTCCAGCAGAACCAAGCTCTGTGTGAGCAGGTACCTGCTATGACTAATTATTATTTCAGAAGAGAAAAGTAAGATATGGAAAAAATTAAATAAATAATTCTGCAAAAAAAGGAAGAAAGGTCTGTTGTCAGTTTTCAAGTCTGTAGGTTGTTCAGTTTCTCGTTAACAGACATAGTGAATCAACCAATCATCTGGGAGGCCATAAACTATGGTTAAAAGCCAAGTCAGTGTAAGAGGGGCAAGCATCCTGAATCAACTTCCCATTCTGCGGTCAAATATCTTATCATCAAGTTGATCTTCAAAACTTTTAATTTTCCTTATTTTTATTTCTTTTTTGTTCCAATAATATGGTTTCAATTGGAAATAATCAAATTAGTAAGCCGAGGAGGGTAAGGGGATGAGGAAATGGTGGGTGGATGGGGCTATTTTGTGAAGTGAAACTAATCAGAGTCTTACTGAGTCACAGTTAGGAACTTATGGGGGCTGAAGACAGGAAAGACTCAATGCTGCCTACTTTGGGACTCCTAAAATCCTTTCCTAAGCAGATGTACCTTTTCATTTAGAGTAAAAATCAAGCACACGGCTTGTTTGTAGTTTACACCTGGTACATATCTTTTTATAATATTAAACTTTTTTTACTCTCTAAAAACACAAGATGCCTTAGAATGGTGCATTTAAAAGAAAATTCATAATTCCTCCTTGTGT